GTGAAGGGGTCTGTTCTATTACAACCACCAGCTCACTCCTGCTTGATCTGGAAAGCCCCCCCCATCCGTCTTCTCTGTCTCTCTCCAAACTGTGCCCTCTCAGAGAATCTCCAACAAAGGGAAGGCACCAAAAAGCCCAGTTTTGCATTCTTGGCAGCTATGACAGCTCCTGCCCTGAAGTTGCGAGCTGCCCAAGTCCCCACCTAAAGCGGTCAGCTTTCAGCCATACTTGGGCATAAACCCAGATTGTGGTGGACAGGTTGTCCCTCACCTACAACCTATATAATCTCCCTGCTTTAGTTTGGGAATGTGGCTTCTCCAGCCACAATCTCTGGGATTGGAGAACCCACCCAGAAGTTGCTTTGCTTAAATAAACCTGTTGTTATACTTTTTCAATTTGGCTTGATCTGGCTTACTTCATAGGCAGAGAAACCTATTATGGAGTTACAGAAAACCTATTTGGGTCCATCATCAATGGCCTCCAAACCTACTAATGTCTTCTAGCTACCTTAACAAAGCCAAACTTCAATTCCTACAGTACTGAATGAGTCCTACACAACCCAAATAATCTGTAAAGAGTTCAGAGTTGGAGCTCTAGAATTATCCAATCATAAAAACAAATAATCTTCTAATATATAATATGTGAATGGATCTTGATAACATTATGTTAGATGATATAAGCCAGTCAGAAAGGACTTAGCTCTAGAACTGATACATTTATAAAGATAGAAGGTAGATTACAAGTTGGTTGGACTGTAGTTGGCACTTCAAAATTGCTAGAAAGCATTAACTTCTTAGATGGGCCCAGAAGATAATTATAAAACCAGCAAGAAAGCCTGGCATCTCCATCTTTATTTTGCAACTATCTCCTTTGTGTTGGGACTCTAGATTATCTCTGAGTCTAGACATGTTTATCAATCAAGAATTGTCTATCTAAAGATTATTTCCCTTTAATGTTGAAGACACAAAGACAAATAATTGTCTTAATCTTGCAGTCACCTTAAACTATGAGAACAGCAAGGCCAATAGGCAGGAAAGATCACCCCCCAAGTGAGATAAATTATCTATGCTAGAGAAGTTAGACTCTGGAACAGAGAGAGCATTTTGTAGGAACCAGACTGCTCCTCTCAGGCAAATACAGTGATTAACATATTGTAACTTTGGCCACCTTGAGCTCAGACAAAGACGGTAGGACCACACACACTTTTCTTGCTCCTGCTCCAATTCTTTCTGTTGGTAAGTGTAAAGTTCATACTATTATCCCCAAACACAAGTTTGGGGTCACTAGACCCCTTCCTCCATTCCTCTTCCCAATATGCATTGATTAAAAACTCATTTTCTGCTTCTTACCATCCCTTATCTCTTTAGTGAATTAAAATGTGTGGCTGAGAAAACCTGGTAACAACCTAGATGCCCCTCAACTGAAGAATAGATATAGAAAATGTGGTACATTTACATAATAGAGTATTTCTCAGCTGTAAAAATCACTGACATTATAAAATTTGCAGGAAATGGATGGAAGTAGGAAAGAAATCATCCTGAATGAGGTAACTCAGACCCAGAAAGTCAAACACCGTATGCACTCACTCATAAGTGAATATCAGATGCAAAGCAAAGGATAACCAGGCTGTAACTCACAGCCCCAGAGACTACCCTAATTGTTATCATAGAACCTCCATCCAGTAACTGATGGAAGCAGATGCAGAGATCCACAGCCAAGCACTGGGCCGAGCTCTTGGAGTCCAGTCAAAGAGAGGGAGGAGGCATTACATAAGCAAGGGGATGGGGGGAGGGTAAGGATCATGATGGGGAAACCCACAGAGACAGCTGTGGTCCCCTAGCTCGTGGGACCTCACAGACTCTGGGGAACCTACTCGGGACTGAACTAGGCCCTCTGCATTGGGTGATAGTTGTATAGCTTTTTCTGTTTGTGGAGCCCCTGTCAGTGGGACCAGGATCTACCCTGGTGCATGAGCTGACTTTTTGGGGCCAATTCCCAGGGGTGGGCTGCCTTGCTCAACCTTGATGCATAAGGGAGGGGCTTGGTCCTGTCTCAACTTGATATGCCAGGCTTAGTTGACTCCCCATGGGAGGCCTTACTCTTTCTGGGTAGTGGATGAGGGGGGGTTGAGTTGAGGGGGTGGGGGGAAGCAGGAGGAAGGCAGGAAGGAGGAACTGTGGTTGGTATGTAAAATGAATGAAAAATTAAAAAAAGAAAAAAAATGTGTGGCAGATCCTCCTCTGTTGCAGCTGCTGGAGCCGGGATTTTGCTTTAAAACTCCCTCCAGGGAGGGAAGACCTTTAGGAAGTAACCGTATAATGGTGCAGCATCTTTGTTTTGTGTGATATAAGAAAGAAACTGTGGTGATGGCTGCACAACAATGTAAATAATTGATGTCATTCAACTGCACACTTAGAAAGGACAGCTGTTTCTGTGGGTTTCACCAGCCTGGTCTTGACGCCTTTGTTCATCACTCCTCCCTCTCTGCAACTGGATTCCAGTTCAGTTCAGTGTTTAGCTGTGGGTGTCTGCTTCCACTTCCACCAGCTGCTGGGTGAAGGCTATAGGATGGCATATAAATCAGTCATCAATCCCCTATCAGGGGAGGGCATTTAAGGTAGCCTCTTCTCTGTTGCTTAGATTGTTAGTTGATGTCATCTTTGTAGATCTCCAGACATGCCTGATTTCTCTGTAAACCTAACTCTGTAAACCTAAAATGTCTCCCTTTATTATAGTATCTCTTATCTTGCTCTCTTCTGTTCTTCCCCTGACTCAACCTTTCTGCTCCCTCATGTCCTCCTCACCTCTCCTCTTCTCCCCTTCTCATTCTCCTAGCTCTCTCTCCCCTCCCCCCACGCTCCCAATTTGCTCAGGAGATCTTGTCCCTTTCCCCTTCTCTAGGGGGCCATTTAAGTCTTAGAGTCCTCCTTGTTACCTAGCTTCTCTGGTGGTGTGGATTGTGGGATAGTAATCTTTTGCTCTATGTCTAAGATCCATATATGAGTGAGTACATATCATGTTTGTCTTTTTGTGATTGGGTTACCTCACTCAGAATGGTTTCTTCTAGTTCCATCCATTTGCCTGAGAATTTCAAGATTTCATTGTTTTTTTTGCTGCTGAGTAGTACTCCCTTGTGTAAATGTACCACATTTTCTCCATCCATTCTTCAGTTGAGGGGCATCTAGGATGCTTCTAGGTTGTGGCTATTACAAATAATGCTGCTATGAACATCGTTGAACAGATGTCCATGTATGAATGTGTACAGCAGGATCTTAATGGAGGCATTTTTCTCAGTTGAGGTTCCCTCCTTTCAGATAACTCTAGTCAAGTTGACATAAAACTACCCATCACAAATGCTTAGCACACAAATACAAATACTCATTATTAGTTGATTTTTATTTTAAAATTTCTAGCCAGGCCTGATGCCACCCATCTTTCCAAATCTTCCTGTGCTGGGCCTAGGCCCCTCCCCATGTGTTCAGAGACAGAGCGAATCCCTTCAAGTGGGATGGGCTCTCGAAGTCCCTCCCACCCACCAGGGCAAAACGCCAGTCCACCTCCAGAGGCTCCCAGGAGTGCAGGGGCCTCCCTATTGATGCCACCCATCTTTAATCCCAGTTCTCCAGAGGCAGGAGTATTTCCATAAGTTCTAGGCCACCCAGGACTGCACTGAAATGTTAGAAACAGGCTCAGGGTGGCAAAAAAGAGACCATCATTTTAACTGAAGTGACTGGGCAAGGCAAACTTGCGTTTTCATCAAGAGGATGTGCTCAGAAGAGCAAGCATGCTGAGATTTTTATTTTTATTCTAACTCAGGTGGTGACCTGTGTCTTCTCTCATTGGTTGGGGTCTGACCTCACACTCTTAATTCTAGTAGCTCTTCTGAAGAGACTTGGTGCACAGGAAACGAAGAAGGCAGAAGGGAGTCATTGCCTCCTGCCATCAGTTCCCTGAAATACATCAAAGTTCTGGCTTCAGCTGGGTGGGAAGAGCATTTGTCTAAAAGTCTTACAAGGTGGGGGAGGAAAAAGATTTGAATTCCTTGCCTTTGTAGAGGGAACAGTGAAGAAACCACTGGCATGGCTGCTTCATGATAATTTTTTAAAATTGTGGGTAAGAAAGAAAATATCCATAGGCATCTGGAAGAGCCCAGAGCTGAGAGAAAAAGCAGCGGACTGGACATGGCCAGGGCTTTCTGTGAAGGAGAGAACAGTGGGAGAGATAGTGAGATAGCAACAGATAGCAGGCACAGCGGGGAAACCGTGGCGTTTTAAAGAATGGGGCTGTCGGACAGCCTGGGGGCTTAGCATAGGGCAGGAGGAGTAGGGGGAGAGGCCAGGAGGCTCTGGGTTTGGGTACTTGTGAATAGGGACTGTGCTGTAGGCTAGCGTGGACTTGATATTCAACCACAAGAAAGTATGTAAGTAGGTATGTATGTATGTGTCAATAGAGAGTCCTAAGCCCCATCTGCCAGGCAAGGGAAACGATTCAGAGGAATGCCGACTTTTATCTAACTGCTGGGCCAAGACTGTTATTTCTGGATATATGGACTTCCTGAGGCCTAAACTTCCTGAGTCCTAAACACAAGTTTTATAGTTTTTGATAGAAAAGACTTCATATTTGAATATTTCTTACATTGAACAATTATAAGAAAAACTACATTTTGCTGTTTTGTTCTAACTTTGAGTCGGCTTCTTGAGCACAAACAGCTCAAGAGAGACCACCGAGTAACTGGAGGGACTCGGTAGATTTAATTTTTGTCAACCGCAGCTTTAAGGTCAGCAGGTTAAAACCGTAAGCCAAGCCTCCCTTTCCCTTAGCGACCCTGGTGGTGAAACTGCCCCCTGCCAAGGCCTTAGAGGTGGCAGCCTGCCCCCTCCCCCGCCCCCCCCCAACAAGGCCCTCCCGGGAAGCGCTACCTCTCGCAGAGGTGGGAGGGGCAAGGGACTTCCGGTCGGAGGGAGGCGGCCGCTAGTGCGCAAGCGCGAGTCTCGTTCCTGCCTTTCTCTCTCCCCTCCCCCCTCCCTTCCCCAGCCTGAGGGGTCCTGAGGTGACAGCGCCTGGAAGCGCGACTGGAAGGGCCGGCGGAGGAGGGGGAGGACA